GAGAAAAGAATCACATGATCATCTCAGTCAATGCAGAAAAGACATTTGACCAAGTCCAACACCCATTCCTGATAAAAACTCTCAGAAAAATAGGAATAGAAGGGAAATTCCTCAGTATAATAAAGGGCATTTATACAAAACCAACAGCCAACATTATTCTTAGTGCAGAGAGACAGAGCATTCACCTTGAGAACGATAACCAGACAAGGATACCCTTTATCACCACTCTTATTCAGCACTATACTAGAAGTCCTCACTAGAGCAATAAGACAAGAAAAAGAGGTAAAGGGCATAAAAATTGGTAAGGAAGAAGTAAAACTACCCTATTTGCAGATAATATGATCCTATACGTAGAAAATCCCAATGATTCCACAAAGCTACTGGAACTAATAGAAGAATTCAGTAAGTAGCAGGATACAAGATCAGCATACAAAAGTCAGCTGGATACCTCTACACCAACAAAGAGAATTTCAAAAAGTAAATCAGGAAAACAATACCATTTACAGTAGCCCCCCAAAAGATAAAATACTTGGGAATAAAAGCAACCAGGGATGTAAAAGACCTATACGAAGAAAACTACAAAACGCTACTACAGGGAACCAAAAGAGAACTACATAAATGGAAAAACATACTGTGCTCATGGATAGGAATACTCAACATTGTGAAAATGTTAATACTATCCAAAGTGATCTACAGATGTAATGCAATCCTGATTCAAATTCCAACAGTATTCTTTAACGAGATGGAAAAACTAATCACCAACTTTATATGGAAAGAAAGAGAGCCTGGATGAGTAAAGCATTATTGAAAAAGAAGAACAAAGTAGAAGGCCTAACACTAGCTGATCTCAGAACCTACTCTATAGCCACAGTAGTTCTGGTACCAGTACAACAACAGACACATAGATCAACTGAACAGAAGTGAGAACCTAGATGTAAGTCCATCCACCTATGGACAGCTGATCTTTGACAAAGGGTCAAAGTCCATTAAATGGAGAAGAGACAGTCTCTTCAACAAATAGAGCTGGCAAAAGTGGGTGTCTATCTGTAGAAAAATGAAACAGGAGCTATACCTCACACCATACACAAAAATTTACTCAAAATGGATTAGAGACCTAAATGTAAAACCTAAAACTAAAGATCATGGAAGAAAAACTAGGGGCAATGCTAGGGGCCCTAATGTATGGCATAAATAGAATACAAACCGTAACTAAAAATGCACACACAGCAGATGAACTAGATAAATGAGACCGCCTAAAAATTAAACACTAATTCTCAACAAAAGACTTCTCCGAAAGAGTAGAAGAGAGCCTACAGACTGGGAAAAAATTTTGGCTATGACATATCTGACAAGGGTCTAATCTCTAAAATTTATAGAAAACTTCAACACCTCAACAATAAAAAGACAATCCAATTAAAAAATGGGCAAAGGATATGAACAGACACTTCACCAAAGAAGACATTCAGGCAAATGCTTACAATCATTAGCAATTAGAGAGATGCAAATCAAAACTACAATGAGATACCATCTCACCCTGACATTACTGGCATTAATCAAAACAGTAAATAACA